CCCCCCCCCCTCTCCGCCTTATGCATCAGATCCGAAGACAGGACCCAAATACACACACAATATATATATATATATATATATATAATATAATATAATATAAGTATATATATGTGAAAAATATTAGTTGTAGCGATAAAAAAATGACAAAACTTTATATTCAATTGATTGCACGAGCTTGTTATTATTCTAAACTGTCCTCGAATACATTATCACTCATTTACTTGCAAAACAATTTTATTCAAATGTGAACTCAAATTCAAATTTCAATATCTCTACATAATACATTTGCTGTTTTGCCCAATTTGCATGCGTTCAAGGATCAAGGAAGTTTAAAACGACTTTTGAGGTTGAAAAGTTGGAACGCGACTGCCTTTTTAAGATACAGATATTTTTTATCTTGCTTCATAAATATCAATATTTTTCAAGAATTCAAATTTCGCGCATAGATCGTCTTATTATTTGTACGCTTTCAGCTACGAACTAGGCTCTTAAAACGAATGTATCTATAGCATATCTATATAGGTATTCATGCATCGTGGTCAAAGAGATCGAAACCATTTTTTTTTTTTTATTATTGGCTGATTTAATATTGCAGCTTGCTTTATTCATCTTTTAAATTACAATTATTATTATATTTTTTGAAATCTTTTAATTATTATATTATCTAATCTATCTCCACTGTCAGATACCATTTCGAGATAAATAAAAATATTTAAATGAATATCTAGATGTGTACCAATACAAAGGCATATGTATATACGACGTCAGATGTCAGATATATATTTTTAATTCCTGCAAGAATTCTACGAGAGTTTTAAGAATGTGTTGAGATTGTCTCGCTCGCTATCTCCACGTTAATGCTCGAAAGTTACCTAATAGTATCTTATCTCGGTAAAATCGGCCACCGGGGGCATCGGAACCTCCGTAGCCGCTCATGCAGTCATTTAATGCATTGTCGCTATCGCCAATCGCCAGTGTGACGTGCGATCAGTCGACCAGTCTCGTCGCTCGTGTCGCTCGGTTTTTTTTATAACGCTTAATAAAGGAGTTATTATTGAATAACGTCTGGCCAATCAGCGTCGACCTTTAGCCGCGCGCCTGGTAGTGTGCGTGAGCGTTCCGTCGCTACGGCGACGCACACTAACAGACGGGCGGCTCACTGACGTGCGTCCGGCTAAAAGTCGGCGCTGATTGACCAGACTTTATTCAATAATAACTCCTTTATTAAGCGTTATAAAAAAAAAATGTTACAGGACTTTTCTGTTCAGTTTACTGTGCTCTATTTGCTCACGAGCGTTGTCAAGGGTGCTTTGGGACACTCTGTATAATTTCTTAATTCGATTTAAAAAATCTTAATATTTTTCACACAAAAAAGCGAGTTCTTGTAAAAAATAGAAAATAGATAAAGACAGTTCAAGAATATATATTTTGATCGATAGAATTAATTCTGTTTCTCATAAAAAAATTATTGAACGATCGAGTTCAACTGAGATCGGAGAAATATGAAAAGATTTAATAATAAGCGAATCGATCAATTATAATCGAATATTTTTCTCGATCTAACCTTATATTGTTAGAAGTACGAAAAAAAAGAAAATACTCAATAATAATTGGTCGAGATCCGCGCCCGGTCTAACCCAACTCAACTGACATGTCTTCTTGAAGTGTAACGTGATCTGCGTTATCAAAACCTGTCAGCATTTATCAGCGGATATTTTATTAGTGTTGGCTGTTGAGACGCACAAGTTATAAACCAAATGGGATTCATAGCTTCTAGCTTTGTATTCACGATATACCTGAAAAATCCTTTCCTACATTTGACATAATTGACAATCTGGAACAACGTATATGCCAATCAACTAATGGGGAACGAAAAAAGTGCTCTACGCGGACTTGAAATCGAAGATAAGGCTGTCGAAGTTACAGACTATTGGATGCATTATGACGCGAGCATAAACGATTCAAATCTACAAAAACTGTCGATCTTTATCAGCGAACCATCCTTGCATTTTACAGCAACATTTAGAAGACCGTCACCATTAGAGCGAGCAGCAAAGGTTAATCCTTATTTATTTTATACAAACGATAAGGAACATTCTCGTACACTCAATATTATAAAAAATATAATATATATACATGTTACTAAAATAAAATCATAAGAAATATAAATGTTATCTGTCATATTATGTTCTAGAATTTCATGTTACATCGGCATCCTTGTATTTTGAAATATATCTCTTCATGGAACAAAGGTAGCAAGTTTTTTCTTGCCACAGAAGAAGCCAGGCCATTGATTCAAGTTGTTGAGAAACAGAATATATTACAAATATGTATCGGTTTACATAGTATCTTGCGAGCTTTAATATTTCTACACGAGACTGCATTGGCATCGCATAACAATGTATGCAGCAGTTCTATTTATGTTACTGCGGAAGGATATTGGAAATTGGGCGGATTAGAGTGCTTATGTAAATTGGCAGATGCGACATCAACATATTATCAAAGGATAAAAAGTTACAGATATGAAAAAGCGATATCGCCAAACGAAGACATAGCCGATTTAATTAAATCTGATAATTTAACTTCAATTGATTCATATGCATTTGGAGTATTGGCGGAAGATATTTTGAAAAACTTACAAGATACAGGTAAGCAAAGACTGAAAATTATCTATTATAGATATTGTGTACATGCCAAGTGATACACTATGTTACAATGCTTTAAATTTCATGTCAAATGTATAATTTTAGATGAAGCATTAAATTTATCGGAATTTAGAGAGTTTTGTAAAAAGAATCTGCAGAATCCAGATGCATGTTTGAGAAGTAGATTATTGAATGTATTGCAACATTCATTCTTCACTCACGAGTTTATAAGGATACATGCATTTCTAGAAGAATTACCATTAAAAACTGACATTGAAAGGGAAGAATTTTTCACGTAAGTAAATATTCGAAGAAAAATTATTATATTTTTTGAAATCTTTTAATTATTATATTATCTAATCTATCTCCACTGTCAGATACCATTTCGAGATAAATAAAAATATTTAAATGAATATCTAGATGTGTACCAATACAAAGGCATATGTATATACGACGTCAGATGTCAGATATATATTTTTAATTCCTGCAAGAATTCTACGAGAGTTTTAAGAATGTGTTGAGATTGTCTCGCTCGCTATCTCCACGTTAATGCTCGAAAGTTACCTAATAGTATCTTATCTCGGTAAAATCGGCCACCGGGGGCATCGGAACCTCCGTAGCCGCTCATGCAGTCATTTAATGCATTGTCGCTATCGCCAATCGCCAGTGTGACGTGCGATCAGTCGACCAGTCTCGTCGCTCGTGTCGCTCGGTGCGCGCGTACTCGAGGTTGCACCTCCCTTCAAAGCGACGTTCGAACGAGACAGAGAGTTCGGTACAAATCGAGGTGTTGCCGCGCGACGATCCCGCCTGTCGTATGCCCGTGGTGGCCGCGAGGATGCCGAGATCGGTCCGACGAGCGACGACATAACGACGGTTACACGAGCGGATGCACGCGAGAGATACTCTGCGAGGACACGCGACCGGAGGCGAAATCGCAGCGAGTCGTCATCGCCGCCGATGCTACTGCACTTCGATAGATCGCGCATCGGTGCGGCCGAGGTCGCGTCGTAGGCTGATCGAACGACGAGGTGAAGGTGAGCGGATCGCGAGGCGAGGAGTCGACGTTGTTTGTTGGTTGTGATTCCGACGATGTGTCCGTGGAGTCTGTAGAGTCGCTGCGCCGCGCGATAAAGCGGCTGCGACGGATAGCTGTGCTCGACGAAAGTCTCTCGTTCTTGGACTCGCGGAGGTAACTTTGACAGATCGCGTATCCCGCGAGAATGTCTCCGGAACTCCCTTGCGCGTTTTTATCGAGGGGAAAAATTTCCGGTTCGAGGTTGACAGACGGTTCGTTTCTACAAAAACGCACGTCTCTTCACTTCGAACGACGATGACTTAAAACAGAGGTGTATTTTGCGCGCCGAATACACCCCGTCAGATCTCTCTGTTTATACGCGCGTGAAACGCGCGTCGTGTCCGACGAGCGGAGAAAGTCTCGCGAGTCGAAGGAGACGCAATTTAACACAGCCTCGACATCCAAGGCACTTAATGTTCTTATCACGCGCGCTGAACGTGCCCGCTGACACACACACGTCCGCGTGTTTTTACTCTCGTGTGAGATCATCTGTGCTTTTCTGACAGTTGGATGCGAAGTTGGATCGCAGTGCGAATGAACGCAGGGTGTTGCATTTATAGACCTGGCTGCGACAACATCACGTTCGGCGCTTATACCTCCTTGCCAAATCAAATTCTGTCATCCTGTATCAGAAGCAGAATTATGACACAAATAGTTGGCGTCGTGATGGCAAGGAACTTAGCTAACTGGGACTAATTAACAACACTCAACGCTGTCATATATTAGTGCTTGGATCGAGTGTTCTTCTTCCTTTTTCAATTAAATCGGAATAAGAATATTATGTGCACATTATTTCTGGCGATATTATAATTTTGATAAAAATAATTTCAGTCAATTTTAAAGAGATTTCTTTTGCACGAAATTGTAGATAAAAATAATACCGAATCGTTCCCATAAATGTTAATGTTGAAAGGGAAGAATTTTTCACGTAAGTAAATATTCGAAGAAAATATGGTAATATTATGTGAATAATTGTGTGTATATCCCCTGTCTAAGAAAAATAATTATCGAAATATTATTCTTTATAGGAAGTTGAGGCAACAGCTACAGATGTATCCCGAAGCTGTTGTTGCCGAACAATTAGGCAGAGTACTTCTTTCCAGAATTGTTTTGTTGGATAGCACTGCCCAAGTAAAACTTTTACCTTTTATTTTTAAACCCAAAGGTGAGGTCATATTTATTATGACTATATTATTAAAATCTTCGTTATCATTATTATAATAGTTATATGATGTGTATGATTATATCTCATTTCATATAAACAAATAGTCTAATAAAACGTTTGATTTTTGCAGATGAGAAAAACGATTTGGGGACTGGTCTATTCACAGTTTCTACCTTTAAGAGTATTCTAGTACCAAGACTTTTGCAAATGTTTTGCATTCGAGATGTTTCCATCCGTTTGTTACTATTATCCCATTTTAATTCGTTTGTACATGTATTTGAAGTGGATGAACTGAAGAACCACATTCTTCCTGAATTACTTGTCGGGATAAAAGACACTAATGACGATCTCGTCTGTGCTACATTAAGGGCATTAGCTGACATAGTACCGATCTTGGGTGCAGCGGCGGTTATTGGTGGAAACCGGGGAAAACTATTTACAGACGGTCGGCCAAATAAGATAATAACTCAAAACAAAAATGTCGACGTTAGAAAAGGTTTAACGTTTGCGCAGGAAATACCTGTTTTTGTAAATATAGATGAGAATAATGTGCATTTATCAGAAAGGCCATCACCGGATGGTGGCGAGGATAAGAGGGAAAAAGAATTTGCGTTCGCCGAAGAGGAAGGCACCTGGTCGGATTGGGAAACGCAAGAGACAGCCATTGGAAATAGCCAGTGTGATATAGCAGAGGCTCTTTCAAATACTGTGGAGACGGAATTGCAAAACGTTAATTGCGATGCGCAATCATCGCCGCCCTTGTCGGAATCATCGTCAAGTGCTATGAAAACAAAGTATACAAAGAAACTAGTACTTTCCGACATCACAGAGCTTGATATAAAGAATTCAAAGGTAATAAAATCTGCAAAGGAAGAATTTGATTTCTTTACAGATATGGAACCTGTGATACAGAAGACGCAGATCTTGCATATTCCAGAGGTGCAATCACCGAAAAGCATGTTTGATGTAAAAACAGTAAATGCTGCTTTGGAAGAGCATGACGATAATGGTTGGGCAGAAGATTTAAGTGATTTGAGCATAGATGAGACACATGAATTAGCAGAACAGTGAGCTGCCTCTTTGTAAAAAGACAATTATTTGCACAAATAGGATAGTGAGATTATGATATGATAAACGATATGCTCATTTAGTTGTATCCATTTTTATCAACTTCCAACTAGTATATGTGATTGCCAACAATACATCATGTGTATATCATTAAAACAAATATTTTTAATAAATGTAAAATATATATGTTAAATACACAATACAAAGAGAGGGAGTATTTATTCTTCATGCAAGAATTTCATGGCAAATTATAGAAAAATGTTTAGAATGCATGTTTATAACAATTGTTAGACTGTTATTTGCATATAATCGATTAAGATTTCTCGCTGATTAATATAGAAATAATATATCAAGATAATTGAACATAATCATACATCTTTGCATCTAATTTCTTAGTGTATGTATTTTCAAACATCTTTTTTATATGCATCATTTAAAAGGTCGAATGTGGAAAACGCAAGAAAGTGCAACAGACGTCAGCAACATATACATATATATATATATATATATATATATATATATATATATAGGAAAATATAATTATTTATAAACATGACATAAGATAAAAGAATTGATATCGATTCTCTTCAATATTATTATGAAGAAATTATAAACTTACAATATAACAGAAATAAATCATTTCATAAAAAAACAGCATTTTGTGCAATCTTTTTCTTTCCTTTGGAAAGAAAAATCTAAAGGGCTGTAAACATAACTTTAAATAATGGTTAAATTAAGCATATTAAAAAGTTACGAATTATCGCAACAGTTCAAGAGTTAATTTATTGTTTCACAAAAGCTCACCGTATATTATTCTTATCGCCTTCCGCGAAATAATTTTATGATACTCCTGAGTTAATCAGTGGCCTTACAAAACATACTGACGCATATATTTTATCATGTTATTCTAATATAACTGCAATGAGATAACTTTACAAAGGCACGTAGGGAATGATGAGGAATTGAAAAAATATATTTTATCAAGATTATATATAATATTATAAACTAAACAACCAT